TCAACAACGTTGGTCATTAGTTTGTCGTAATATTCTTTTGGAATGTCATTTGTTGGACGTTTTATTCTGTCCAACATTTTTCTTAGTTTTTCCAAATTGACCAAAGTGCAACAATACAGAATTGCTCTTCGACTGTTTTTTTTCTGAATACGTTTCGCAATCCCAAGCGAATAACGCATCATCACTCATACTTGAAAGCACGTTTAGTTTGAGGGGTGAAACCTGTGTTACTGCGTTATCGTCTCTACACGTTTTCCACACCTGTTCGTAATTGTCTTCTATTTCTTGAATTCCCAAACTTTTTTGGCTTCTTCTAATCAAACAGAAATGCGAGTTGTGTAAGTAAAAAACCCAATCTAATTCATCGTGAACGTTTCTGGAATGAAAATGTCTGTTTTTGGGATTATAAATTTGAAACGAAGTGTTGAATTTCTTGTTGAATTCCTTCATTCTAGCACAAGTCATCACTCCTTTTCTTTTTAAGTAGATCAGTTCCTCCTCTACCAACTCTCGATCTTTTTATTTCTTGGAATTGTCTTTCATAAAATTATTTTTCCAGTAAAATACCAATCGGAAGCATCGGATTTTTTGTCCATATTTGAAAAGATATCGTGAAAGGTTTTGGCATTGAAACCGAGGAGTCACATGTATTGTCTGTGATTCCCTTCCTCGACTATCTTTCCATCTATTTTAATTTGTCCTTTGAATGTTTTAAATTTATCAGAGATATCCTTGATAACATCGGAAAATAGGGCGTTTTCTATCAATGTTTCATCGTCTGCAAGTTCGATTTTATTCATATTTTTTGATATATAAGTATATATGTATGATTATTTCTTTATTTTGACCGCTGATATTTCTGTATGGAATTTGTCCAGAATTTCATTGAATTCTTCTAATTCTTCAACTATTATGTTCTTGTCTTCTCTCGATCTTTCGAAAAAGATGTACAATTGATTAAGATACATATTCAAGATATCCGTTTTCTTTTTATAATGAGCTTTCTTTTTGCTCGTGAAACCTAAAGTGATGAGACCGCAAGAGGTCGTTTGAACGGCTGTTAATGCAGCCATTACGGTTGGGACGATGACCGGAAGCATTAATCCACCAGTCACGGCCGTTGCCACCGTTACTCCTACCGTTAGAACTGTGCTCGCTGTTTTGAAAACAGAATCGATTCTACTCCATGTTTTCCTGCATGTATTGTACTGTCTCAACTTTATTTTCAACTCTTCTTGTTTGTCTATCATGTATTGTTGTCTGCTTTCGAGTTCCATTTTTTAAGTCATTAAATTAAGTGAATTTCCGATAAATGGAACCATAAATGATATCGTATATAGCGTGCTTGTTTGGCCTGGCATTATTATATTTGCGGGTATTAAAAGTAAAAACATTTACGCGTACTAACGACATTTCTTCTTTCGTATGGTCCTGGTTAAGATGATAGGAATATTTTCTTTTTTCTTTTTCGATGTTTATCTTGGCTCTAGAAATAAAACCACCACCTTCAAAGATGGAGTCGGAACCTTCGGCAAAAGATAAATGTACTATAAACTCTCTTTCTTGTTGACTTTTATGAACATCGATCGAGGTGTATTTTCCACCTTAAACAAAATACAGTTTTACGTATTCAAAGTCTGTTGTTCGTAAAAACTCGTGACTGCTCGATTCTATTGGTCCGGGTACGTATACGGGTATTATAAGTGATGGTGGAATTTTGACAATGTTGGTTAATGGTGGATTTTCCGTCTCCAATATCATATCCAAATCTTTGATTCCAATGATATCCTTATCATTTTCTACTTCCATTTTAAAGGTGTCTACATATTTACCATTTTTCGTTTCAATTTCCTGATCCCTTTTATCAATCAAACGTATATTCTCTTCCAAATTACCATCATTGAATAATGAAATATGTTTGACGGCATTACCGGTTTGTTTGAAGACTACTTTATTGACTTTAACCTTCATTCTATTTGAATCAGACAATTACCTCGAAAAGTAAACGCTTCCGTTTCGCCGATATCGAATACGTTTTTAGGTTCTCCGTATACGAGAGAACCCACTTTTATTTCTGCTTTGAATCCGTATTTGTTTGATTTATAAATTTGGTCTTTTCTATTGAAGACAGTGTCACTTTCGAATGGAAGATTGAAATAATACGATTTGTCCGTGACAATAGCTTCTAATTTGCTCAACTTTTTCTCTTGTCTCAAAAAATCGTCATGAATTCTAGATACCAAAAGATTGACCTGTTCTTTAATATAATTTTTCATATCATCTCGAAATTTATTTTGAAGAAAGTTTTTAATCACACCCACTTCTTTTTCTAATTCGTCCGTGATTTTAGTATCCAAAGCAGTCAATTGTCGTTTCAACGTATCTTTGTCAATGGGAAGGGTGTTAATTATATCTTGAACATCTGATTTTTGCTTCGCGATCTTTTCGTTCAAATTGGATATCGAATTTTGTAACTCGGTTTTGTCCGCGGTCTTGTCTAGTTCTGCTAGCAATTCGCCAAGTTTTCTTTCCAAAGCGGTTAGTTTTCGTTTCAATCTACCCTCGTTTACATTTGGGTTGTCTATTAAACGTTGGACGTCTATTTTTACCTTCGTAATCTTATCGTCTAATTTAGATATTAAATTTTGTAACTGACTTGTTTTATCCACTTGAATAAGACGTTTCAAACTCGTTAACTCTTGTTGTAGTTTGGGTTCGTCCACAAGATTTTTAATATTTCGTCTGATGAATCTTTTCAAGTCATTTAGTCTATT